CCCATTCGGTAAAATAGACAGCCTCGATTCTCATAATTGATGCCACGAGGAGTATACCCAAAGCTGCTCTGAACGCAATGCTGATCTTAAGGCCTCTGTGTCTCAGCATTGAGTGTCAGACAGCACGTACTGCTCTAAGGCTCCGTCATCGGAATCTTTTTATACCCTTCAGCACACTGTGGTACGGGGTATTATGTCTTTGTGCATATGTTTGTAAAAGGCAAAAGGAATCGGGATAGACCCATAGTTCCTTTTGAGAATATGCATAGAATCACTTTCTGAGTCGATTTACGCTTGTCCGTCTGTCCGTCCGTCCGTCCATGTATTTTTGTGAACAAAGTACAGGTCGCTTTTATGATCCGATGGATGAAATTTGGCACAGTTCACTTATTTGGCCCAAGGACGAACCCTATTGAAATTGGGAAAAATCGGTTCAAATTTAGATATAGCTCCCATATATATTTTCGTCCGATTTAAGATAAATGGTGCACTAAAGTCCCTATATATCGTTCGATTTGCACGAAATTTGGCACAGCGAAATGAATTAAGTTTAGAATGATGTCTGCGAAGTTTTGTGAAAATCGGTCCAGATTTAGATATAGCTCCCATATATAGTTTCGTAAGATTTTATGTAAATGGTGCACCAAAGTCCCTATATATCTTTCGATTTCCACGAAACTTGTCATAACGTACTGAATTGAGCCTAGAGTGATGTCTACTAAATTTCGTGAAAATCGGTCCAGATTTAGACATAGTTCTCATATATATTTTCCTCCGATTTAATGTAAATGGTGCACCAAAATCCCTATATATCTTTCGATTTGCACGAAATTTGGCACAACGTACTGAATTGAGCCTAGAGTGATGTCTGCCAAGTTTCGTGAACATCGGTCCAGATTTAGATATAGCTTCCATATTTAGTTTCGTCCGATTTTATGTTGAAGATTCACCAAATTCCCTATAAATATTTCGATTTGCACGAAATTTGGTATATCATACTGGATTGAGCCTTAAATGATGTGTGCTGAGTTTCGTGTGAATCGGTTCAGATTAAGATATATATATATTTCCGTCAGATTTAATGTAAATAATGTACCAAAATTCTAATATTGCATAGATCGATTGATTTTAAGTAATTGACGCACCAAGGAACCAATATAGGGTTGATAGGAACAAAACGTACTCGCAATGTCCGACCCATTATGTAGATGTCGTCGACGTAGGCGAATAATCCTTTTCCAGCAGGGTATTGGACAGGTCACACGACAAACTGTCACCTTGTCTGAATGCTAGTTCGTTATTGAAGGGCTCCGAGAGGTCCTTTCCTAATTTAACTGCTGACATTGTACCAGTTAAAGTTATGCGTATTAATATTGCAAGATTGCCGAACACAGACATAGCTTTAGATACCTCTGAACGGATGGGGCTGTCGAATGCGGCTTTATAGTCGACGAATAGGTGGAATGTGTCGACGTATTTTTCGTGGGTTTTTCCAGGATCTGGCGAACAGTGAAAATCTGGTCAATGGTGGATTTGCTAGGTCTGAAGCCACATTGGTATGGTCCAATAATGTCATTGACCATTGGCTTCAAACGTTCACACATCACTTTATATGCAATGGGAAGGAGACTTATTCCTCTATAGTTGGCACATATCGCCTTGTCACCATTTTTGTGCACGGGACACAGGATGCTGAGGTTGGGCATACATTCCTCTAGCCAAATTGTACAAATGAGCTGGTACATGCTCCTGGCCAGCATGTGACCATCAGTCTTGAATAGTTCGGCTGATAATCCATAATAAAACAACAGGTGCCGTTTATTGTTCTTCAGCCGATTAATTGCTACTCTGACCGCATCTTGGCTAGGAGGTATACACTCTATACCGTCATATCTTACTGGTTCTGGGTTATCATCTTCACCGCTACTAGTTAATACCAGAAGCTTTTCAAAATGCTCCTTCCAGATTCTCAGCACGCTATCTGTATCTGTCACCAGATTGCCATCTTCATCTCTACAGGAGGATGTCCCTGTGCCAAAACCTTCGGTTCGGTGTTTTACTCGTTTGTAAAATTTGCGGACTTCATTCTGACTCCTGTACATTTTCTTGTTATTTCTGAAAATTCGTTTCTCATCTCTCCCTTTCTCCCGATAATACTCCATCGCATTTCGTGCTGCTACTGTCTTCAGGGTTGCCCTATACGCTGCGTTTTTCACATAAGTAGCTTTACGACAGTTCTGGTCATACCATGGGTTTCTTGGTGGTGGTTTTTGGTTTCCAAGTTTTGCTTTTGATGCAGTTTGTAGGGAGTGGACAATTCTTTGCATTGTGCTTCTATATTATTATAGGAACAAGGAGTACTTTCGTCAACCAAGTCGGTAAGTAGGGCAGAGTAGGCTTCTGATATCTGTTGTGTTTGCAGCTTTTCGACGTCGAGTTTCCGTGTATTGTTAAATCGCACCTTTGCTGCTACATTAAGACGAGTGCGAATATTGGCTGCCAAGGGATTGGTTGGTTGGGATTGGATTGGTTTTATTTTTCGTTGCTTTTTCATAGTAAGAAGGGTTTTCCGAGTGTTTGCAACTAACCCGACGTCTCAACCCATTTTTACACTTCTTATGGGTGAACTCGCGGCCATACAAGCTCTCTATTTCAACGGGTGATGAAAATAGTATTTTGGTGTTTTACTGATACTAAATTTAGTGAAATTGATAAAATATTGAATCGGAATTCTGATCACTTTTGACATAAGAAAGAGGTTTCACAAATTATTGATTAGGTGTATGAAGAGTACTAAATGGTAATAAACTTGATATTAGATGTAGGAATAGAGTTGGAATTCGGAACTATAGTACAACAAATTATACAGGTTTCCATGTGGCTACACAACTATGTTGTCAGGGTATAATAGCTTTGTGCAGCCCCAAGAGTTTGTAACGCCGCGAAATATTGCTCCTAGACCCACCTTTAAGTATACCGATCGTCATATCTCGACTAGCTGAGTCGATTTGGACATGTGTGTCCGTCCGTCCATCCGTCTGTCCATTATAATTTGTAAACACGATACAGGCCACAGTTATGGACCAATCTTCACGAAATTTTGCATGTAAGAAGGGTTCGGCCCAATGAAGCCCAATAGCTCCCATACAAATACTTAATTTTTGTCGGTTTTTCTGGTCGCTCCAGAGGACGCAATTATGACCCAAACATCTCGAATTTTTACATGAAGAAGGGGATTGGGCCAAAGAATAAGCATGTCTGTTTTGAAAAAGATCGGTCAATATTTAGCGGGTCAAATGGACCCTGACTTTTGTGTGAAAAATTACAAAATTTGTATTCTACAGCGAATATTTTTACTCCTGAAGGACATAGAGCCGAAAAGTTAATAGTTAATCCAAGAGGAGTGATTGGCCTTTAAATTTATACCAATTATATTGTCGTATGTACTCGGATGTGGGAGCTACAAATAAATATTTACAGGTGCTTTCGTACTCAGATATTATTTAATAAACCATTACCACACTAGAGGGTGGAAATATAGCGCGGATCGCTTTGAAATGCTCCATGAGGTTCCAGTTATGGTCAAGAACAACGCGGTGATGATCAGATAATTATTTTGGGATAAAGTGGACCGAAAACTTATTTTTTGTGTTTTCGATTCGATCTATAGGCTACTATTATAAGCCGAACATCACAACACAACCCACGGTGAAGGGAATATGGACAAGTAATTAGAAGGGCTGTACTGAATATTGGTAATATTCGGAAAATACGTCAGTGTAAGGAAGAGGTGCTGCTGACCTCTAATCGGTAAAGATGGTGCAACTATCACGAAATATTACCCAGGCTTGGAATAAAAATCCGCAAAAAAAATAATACAGTTCTGTGGTAGTTGTGTAGGGTATCGTATGGTCGGCCCCGTCCAACTATACTGCTCCGCTCACTGGTTATATATGTAGTACAGGGTATTATGTCTTTGTGCATATGTTTGTAACAGGCAAAAGGATACGAGATAGACCCATAGTTCCTTTTGAGAATATGCATAGAATCCCTGAGTCGATTTATGCATGTCCGTCCGTCCGTCTGTTGGTGTTAAATTGTAAACAAAGTACAGGTCGCATTTATAATCCGAATTGGATGAAATTTGGCACAGCTCATTTATTTGGTCCAAGGACGAACCCTATTGAAATTGGGAAAAATCGGTTCAGATTTAGATATAGCTCCCATATATATTTTCGTCCGATTTAATGTAAATGGTGCATCAAAGTCCACATATATCTTCCGATTTTCACGAAATTTGGCATAAGGTACTGAATTGAGACTTGAATGATGTGTGCCAAGTTTCGTGAAAATCGGTTCAGATTTAGATAGATTTCCATATATATTTTCGTCCGATTTAATGTAAATGGTGCACCAAGGTCCCTTTATATCTTCCGATATAAACGAAATTTGGTACTGAATTGAGGCTTGAATGATGTGTGCCAAGTTTCGTGAAAATCGGTCCAGATTTAGATATAGCTCCTATATATATTTTCGTCCGATTCAATGTAAATGGTGCATCAAAGTCCCTATATATCTTGCGATTTGCTCGAAATTTGGCATAACGTACTGAATTGAGCCTTGAATGATGTGTGCTGAGTTTCGTGAAAATCGGTTTAGATCTAGATATATATATTTTCGTCCGATTTTATATAAATTATGTACCGTAGTTCTTATATTCCATAGCGTACTGAATTTAGTCCTGAATGATGTATGTCAAGTTTCGTGAACATCGTTTGAGATTTAGATATAGCTCCCTTATTGGAACCGTTTTAGGTATTAGTATATAAATCAAAGAATACTCTATCGGTCCGCTGTCTAAATACCTGCATATTGTTTTTAATTTTTTAGAATTTATTTATTTATCGTATTCGACATTTTTAATATTTACAACAAATTTACAGAATTTCTTGTCTATTCGCATGAAAAATCGTTCTTAAACCTATTCGATTTAAAACCGTTTAACAATCAGATATTTGGGAGTCGGCATAATGGCTGTTATCATTCCAGGATTCATTATTCCAAACTGCGGTATTTGAGTCAACCGGTGGGGGTCCATAGGTTAAGGCAGGGGCGTGGACATCACTGGAAGCATGTTCTACAACCAATTGAACAGTTTTAACAGTTTGTTCGACGGGAGTGACTGCTGGCGTTTGAACTTGAGGTTGTTGTACTGAGGCTTGAACCGAAGATTGTTGTTGCCAGACTGTTGAGACTTGTGGTTGATATTCAGTTTCAGTTTGTTTCTCAATGGTCACGTGGATAGGTTGAACTTGGACCTGTTGTTGTTGTACAGGGGTTTGAACAGTAGATTGCCAGGCTGTTGAAACTTGAGGTTGATATTCAGTTTCCGCTTGTTTTTCTACAGTCACATGAATAGGTTGTGTTAGATGTTGTTCAGAGGAGTGATCTGAATCATCACAGTCGGCGTGGAACTGAGGATGATATTCGGTTTCGGTTTGTTTTTCCACAGTCACATGAATGGGTTGAACTTGAGGTTGCTGTTGTACAGGAGGAGATTGAACTGTAGATTGCCAGTTTGTAGAGATTTGAGGTTGATATACGGATTCGCTTTGTTTTTGTACGGTAACTTGAATAGGTTGTACTTGAGGTTGTTGTACCGATGTTTGAACGGTACGGCTTTGCCATGTGTAAGGTAGAGGTTGGATTTGTTGTTGTTGCTGCGGTGGTGGTGTTTGAACTGGAGCTTCCTGTGCATGATAGGAATTGGATTTTTGTATGGTCACTTGGATGGGTTGTGCTTGAACTTGTTGTGTTGGTGTGTACGTGTATGAACGTGTTGGGGGTGGTGTTTGGACATTATCGGGATTTTGTTGGGGAGGTTGTTGAACAATCTGAGTTTGTACTGGATACGAGATTGGTTTTTGTACAACTGCAGTTTGAACGGGGTATGGTATGGGCTGTTGGACAATTGTTTTTGGTACTGATACAGGTTTCTGAATTGTAACTTGTATGGGTTGGATTTGTGTGGGCTTTGCGGGATAGGCCACAGGTGTTTGATATTGCTGAGTATTTCCAAAGTAACGTTGTTCCTGTTGAATTGTTTGTTGTTGCTGGGGTTGTGATCGAGCTACGGTTACAAAAATTTGCTTAGCAGCTGGTACTGGTGCGGGGGCGGCAACAGGAACTGGAGCGGGTACTGGGGCAGGTGCACTGATTGGTGTCCAACCATATGATGATGACGATGATGTTGCAACTCCAGCGGAGGCGGAGGACGATGCAGCTGAATTACTTGAATATCTTGTTTGATAGCTGTTTGAGGTAGTCGAGGGTTGTTCAACCACCTTGATTATTTTCACCACTTGAGAGTTGCCAGCATTGTATCCGGAATTATAGGATTGTTGGCTCCAACCGTTGGAACCCGAGCCATATGTTTGCTGACCCCAACCATTGTTGTTGTTAGTGTTACCAGTCCATACCGGACGATTATAGGTGTAGCCTGTTGAGCTGGTGCCATAACCTTTGTTGTAATCACTTTCCTTAGATGATCCGAAAATATCGAAAAATGCCTGTGAGGGTGCTGCCAATGAAATCACCATCACCACCACAACTGTGGCAAATTTTAATGACTTAAAACCTTTCATATTCGAAAAATGTTCGCTTAATTTTTTCCCCTATGGACCCAAATAATCGTATTCAAATCGAGGTTCGTAGAAAACTGATCTGCAGCTCATTATCAAATCATGCATTTATACCACAAATAAAGTAAATAACAACATATTATTGAGTAATACTACTTGGATTCACTTCCCACCCACCCGATTTACCCAGTTTCCTTGGCTGCAAATTGCAAAAAAACATCTTTGCAAAAAGTTCACGCTCATTGCAATTGGAAAAAAAGAGACTCTAAATTGTATCTCCGCCAAAATTAAATTCTATTATTAAAATTGCAGGGTTTAGGTGAGGTTAATTAGCAACAAATTGCAAAAAAATATGTTTTTGTTGTTTATTTGTTTTTTTTTCTTCTTTACTTTGCCAAAAAAATAGTTGCATATTTGTATTTGATTTCCATAGGGGGTGATAATTTGAAATGGAAATATGATATAATTCCCCAGGCGAGAAGATGGTGCATAAAATTGTTCATTGACACTTCTTTTAGTAAATAAATTGAAATCAGAGACTGGCGAATTATATTTAGGTTTATTTATTTAATTAAGAACGACACACGCATCGCTTTGGGTTTGTCCCAAACAGTAGTACATTCGAATTTTATTATTTACTTAGTTGCGGATTTCAAATATTTTCGGAAATGGGTAAAAACCACAATAGTTTTTCATATTAGTAAGAAAATCTGATTATGAGTATAAACTGGAAATACGTAAAATTAACAGGTCAATTGCAAAGTCTCCCGGCTAACACCGTAAACTTAAACAGATGTGTGTTATGGTACAAGGTCTGTTATCAGTTCAAGATTTACTATACGAAGCTGCGGAATTGTTGTCAACCTGTGATGGTCCATTGATGAAGGCGGGGACATGAACATCACTGGAAGCATCCTCTACAACCAATTGTTCAGTTTTAACAATGCGTATGCTGGGAGTGAGTGTAGGAGTTTGAAATTGAAATTGTTGTGCCGAGGTTTTAAATTTGCAAAAATTTGTTCCAATCGGACCCACCTGGGGAGTTTGATGCAGCATTTATATTAACTTCAGTGCGTTGTGGAAAATGTTGTGACAGTTTTGTATAAAATCGGACGAAAATATATATGTAGAAGCTATATCTAAATCTGAACCGATTTCAGATAGACTTGCAAGAGATTATTTTATATTAACTACAGCTCATTGTAATGGGTAAAAACCACAATAGTTTTTCATATTAGTAAGAAAATCTGATTATGAGTATAAACTGGAAATACGTAAAATTAACAGGTCAATTGCAAAGTCTCCCGGCTAACACCGTAAACTTAAACAGATGTGTGTTATGGTACAAGGTCTGTTATCAGTTCAAGATTTACTATACGAAGCTGCGGAATTGTTGTCAACCTGTGATGGTCCATTGGTGAAGGCGGGGACATGAACATCACTGGAAGCATCCTCTACAACCAATTGTTCAGTTTTAACAATGCGTATGCTGGGAGTGAGTGTAGGAGTTTGAAATTGAAATTGTTGTGCCGAGGTTTTAAATTTGCAAAAATTTGTTCCAATCGGACCCACCTGGGGAGTTTGATGCAGCATTTATATTAACTTCAGTGCGTTGTGGAAAATGTTGTGACAGTTTTGTATAAAATCGGACGAAAATATATATGTAGAAGCTATATCTAAATCTGAACCGATTTCAGATAGACTTGCAAGAGATTATTTTATATTAACTACAGCTCATTGTACAAAATTGTGTAGCAATCGGACAAATTTTGGGTCTTTAGTGCACAATTTACATAAATCGAAAGAAAATATATATATAGGAGCCATATCTAAATCTGAACCGAAACATAGCACACATCATTCTAGACATAATTCATCACGCTATGCCAAATTCCGTGCAAATCGAAAGATATATAGGGACTTTGGTACACCATTTACATTAAATCGGACGAAAATATATATGAGAGCTATATTTAAATCTGAACCGATTTTCACGAAACTTAACACACATCATTCAAGACTTAATTCAGTACGCTATGTCAAATTTCGTGCAAATCGAATGATATATGTGGACTTTGGTGCACCATTTACATTAAATCGGCCGAAAATATTAGGTTGGTGCGTATGAAATGTCGGATTCTCTTTACATGCGAACGTTTGTCTTTGGCATAACCACATTCATAGTCGTATTGTCCATTACCAGAGACTCATTTTAGCAAAATAGGGTTTCTCGAAGGTCTTCCCTTTTGTTATTTCTTTTGAGTTTGAGTTTGATCAGACAAACATATATATGGAAGCACAAAGTGTACCACAGTGTGGTGAAGGTCACTGGTCACACGTCCATTTTACAACCACTTTAAAATGAGACAACATCAGGAACTCCTTTGTTTTTTTCTGAAATTGTTTATTCCTTGCCGGCTGTTCTTCTCGCATCTTTTCTTTATTGGCCGAGGCTTGAAGTCGGAATTGTTCGTTTATCTTTCATTTGTTGGTGCACAGTGGTTGAAGCTGAAAGAAAGTTTTCCAGTAAGAAAAGTAGTAAAGTCGGACGGGCCCAACTATATGGTATATTATGATATATGGGTCTATATTATATATATATGGGTCTATCTCGTTTCCTTTTGCCTGTTACAAACATATGCACAAAGACATAATACCCTGTACCACAGTGTGGTGAAGGGTATAACAAATGGAGGAACATCACAAGGTTGGGTTTTTGTTATGAATATTTTTTGAGCTACCATTACAGCTAGTCGTGGATTTCTAAAGAATGGCTTGGATTTTTAAAGATATCATCATAGCAAAAGGCGTGAATTTTTAAAGATTTTTGAGGGATTATCGAAGCAAAAGGTGTGGATTTTTAAATAATATTTTTTGAGGGATTATCGAAGCAAGATGCATGGATTTTTATACCCCTCCGCACACTATGGTACAGGGTATTATGTCTTTGTGCATATGTTTGTAACAGGCAAAAGGAAACGAGATAGACCCATGGTTCTTTTTGAGAATATGCATAGATTCACTTTCTGAGTCGATTTATGAATGTCCGCCCGTCTGTTGGTGTTAAATTGTAAACAAAGTACAGATCGCATTTATAATCCTATTTGGATGAAATTTAGCACAGTTCATTTGTTTGGCCCAAGGACGAACCCTATTGAAATTGGGAAAAATCGGGCAAAAGGAAACGAGATAGACCCATGGTTCTTTTTTTTGGAGAATATGCATAGATTCACTTTCTGAGTCGATTTATGAATGTCCGCCCGTCTGTTGGTGTTAAATTGTAAACAAAGTACAGATCGCATTTATAATCCTATTTGGATGAAATTTAGCACAGCTCATTTGTTTGGCCCAAGGACGAACCCTATTAAAATTTTAGAGAATCGGTTCAGATTTATAGTTTCGTCCGAATTATGGTAAATGTTGTACCAAAGACCCTATATATCTTTCGAATTGCACGAAATTTGGCATAGCGCACTGAATTAAGTATAGATTGATGTTTGCAAAGTTTCGTCAAAATCGGTTCAGATTTAGATATAGCTCCCATATATATCTTCGCCCGATTTAAGGTAAATGGTGTACCAAAGACCCTATATATCTTTCAAATTGCACGAAATTTGGCATAGCGCACTGAATTAAGTATAGATTTATGTCTGCAAAGTTTCGTGAAAATCGGTTCAGATTTAGATATAGCTCTCATATATATCTTCGTCCGATTTTAGGTAAATGTTGCACTAAAGTCCCTATATATCCTTCGATTTGCACGAAATTTGGCATAGCGTCCTGAATTAAGTCTAGAATGATGTGTGTACAGTTTTGTAATAATCGGTTCAGATTTAGATATAGCTCCCATATATAGTTACGCCCAATGTTAGGGAAATAGTCCACTAAAGTCCCTATATATCTCTTGATTTGCACGAAATTTGGCACAGCATAATGAATAAGATCTACAATGATGTGTGTTAAGTTTCGTGAAAATCGGTTCAGAGCTAGATATAGCTCCCATATATATATATATATATATATATGCGATTTTATGTAATTGGTGCACCAAAGTCCTTATATATCTTTCGATTTGCACGAATTTTGGTATAGGGTACTGAATGCGTGAAAAGATCCATAGCCAGTCCGATTGCCATATCGTACTGAAGTAATATAAATTAGTCTCTGTCAAGTTTCCCTGAAATCGGTTCAGATATATATATATATATATATATAAGAAACACGCGACGTCTGTTAGGAGACATATGTAGAATAAAGAATATTTTTTGAGGGATTGCCGAAGCAATAGGCGTAGATTTTTTAAGAGAAAATATTTGTATTTAGTCAAACCTTGAAAAAAATCTGTAGTTTGACAAAATTATATATTCAATTCGGCAGCATACGCAAAATTTCGGGTCAAATAGACAGACTTAGAATTTTTGGTCCAAAATATGAAGGAAATCTGATGAACTTTTATATGAAAGCAATATCCACATAAGAAACGATTTAAAGTGCTGTGTATTCCATCAACAGTAACAATATCTTACGAATGCATTAAGACATAATATCTAACACTACGGTGTAGGATATATAAATATCATCGTCCTGGACCTACCCAAATCCACACAAATCAATCATTGAAATAAAAATCAATTGATGTATTTACTTAAAAAATATTCATGTAATTTTATTCGTTCATATCTCTTCGAATCGTGAGGATTTCGTATCTGGGTCTTATTCTCTAAAAAATGCACAAAAGCGAAACAGAAATTAAAAATGGCATCCACTAATTTCATTAAACGTAAAATTAAATCTAAGATGACTTCGCTGGGTTTGCAATATTCGTTTTACTGACTAGCAACCAAGGCTATCCCAAATGCTACCACTCTTCCAGGGTCCGGTACCAACCGATTGACTCCATGAATTTGAATTCCAGGCACCAGCGTTGGCGTTAGGTGGTGGTGGTCCATAGGTTAGGGCGGGTGTATGCGATTCAGCGGCATTTTCAACTACCAATTGAACAGTCTTAACATTTTGTTGTTGTTGCACCTGAGGAGCTACAGCTTGGTATGAGGTTTGATATGAGGTTTGATATTGAGGTTGTGGTTGGGTTTGAACGCTGTAGGAAATTGGTCTTTGTACTGTCACTTGAATGGGCTGTTGATATTGGGGTAGGGGTTGTTGTTGTTGAACTGGTGGTGGAGGAGGTAAATATTGTTGAGGTTGGGGTTGAGGTACGGTCACATAAACAGGTTTTGGTGGTGGAGCTACAAAAACTGGGCGTGGTGGAGCAATAGGTTGTGGCTGAGCTTGCTGTACTGTAACATAAACTTGTTTGGGCTGGGGAACAACAACGGGGGCAGGAGCTGGAACTGAAACGGCAACTGGTGCTGGAGAGGGTACTGCAACAGGAGCTGGGGCAGGAACAGGTGTCCAGCCTGAAGAAGATGCCGACGAAGAGGCAGATGCTGAGGCGGAACTGCTAGCATAGGTTGTTGGATAGACAGCAGGTTGTTCGATGACCTTAATTACTTTAATGACTTGAGTGTTGCCACCATAACCACCGCCATAGGTTTGTTGACCCCATCCAGAGTTAGAATTGCTGCCGGTCCATACAGGGCGGTTGTAGTTGAAACCACTGGAGCTGCCGCCATAAGAGGAGGCGTAGTTACCACCATAGCCGCCACCATAACCACCGCCATAACCACCGCCATAACCGCCGCCGTATCCACTACCACCACCATAGTTGGCTTTACCACCAAATCCTCCAAGTCCACCGCCAACATTGCCGCCACCACCACCCAAACTACTCTTCAAGCTGCTCAACAAAGCCAATTTGGCACCCAAAAGGGCTTGTGAGGGAGCTGCCATAGCCAACAAGGCAACCAAAACGCAAACGTACACTTTCATTATATCTTTCGATTCCTTCCTCCTGGTTCAAAATCAAACGCGTAATCCCAACCACCGATTGTAGTCAACTGATAACTTGTTTCTTATCTACGCACAAATTTATACTCCCTGCCAATATTCAGTTCATTCGGCTGCTGCCGCTGTCCCATTGTAGCCGGTGATCATAAGAGTCAATAAATTTAGCCCCCCCTCGCTGGATGCTTTGTATTCTGCCATTCTAACGCTTCTCCATGGGCTTACGACTACTAAATCTAATATCATAGGCAAATTTCACTCAAACACACACGCGTACACGACGATAGAACCTATCCAACGCTGCTGCAAAAAAGACAACAATTTCATATTTGTTTAATTAATAAATAAATATACCCCACCCATAAACCGTAAGCATATCCAGCAGATTCATTCATTTAGCCATTTGTCGATTTGGTTGGTTGTCTGTCAATCAAGCATGCCAAACGAACCAACATTGTCGTCTCTCATCTCCAGTCAAATAGGCATCAATAATGGCTGCAGACAAAAAAAAAAAAAAAAAAAATCACACATTTGTCGTGCTGATTTATATGGGACGTTTGCTTTTGGTAGCACTAGTCGACAAATTGAAATTGGCATACATAGATAGTTGTAAAAGGTTGTAAATAGTTCAAAAATATTCAAGGTCATATAGGAATACAATAAATCCAAATTTAAATGGAGACATTGAAAACAAACTGGTTAAATGAAGTGGACATTCAATACCGAAAATCGGAGGTATACGAGGGAAAGAAGAGGAGAAAACGATGTACCAAAAACATTTAAGTTGGAAAATTGGGCCAGGGCTAAAATGACTAGCGACATCTATATGGGGTCTATGTAGAAGCCTGGTGTTATAACGCATCTATGAAGATGATGTTTACCCACCAACGTCGCGGAATGTCCCTACGGTTGGAAAATTCGCTTATGAATACGAATTACGAAATATACACCTAGGAATACCTATAAAGGCTAGACATTAATATGAGCTATATTTTAAATATCAAAGTAGAGCCAAGAGTGTGGAAAACAGGTAAATGTGGAGAAAGAAATAGCGTTTCAAGAAACAGGCAGTAATATTGTAAAATTTAGGTAGGAACTTAGCCTTCACCACTTTTCACTAATAACCAGTAAGGAAAGTAGTAAAGTCGGACGGGGCCGACTATATGATACCCTACACCACTTTGGGTATATTCAACAGATGAATCATAACAGAAGTCGAATTTTTGAAGGACCATTCTGCAACCTACACAAAATTTTTCATTTGGTCAGATATAGGGTTGCTTCTTCCAATGGGACAAAATTATATAAAGCAATGTGAAGGAAATATATATATATATATAACCTATATCGAAATCTAAACATGTTAAGTTACATGCATTATGTACATAGGAGCTATATCTAAATTTAGATATAGCTCTATATAGGAGCTATATCTAAATCTAAACCGATTTCAACTAAACTTGCTACAAGTTATGTTATAGTAACTTCAGTACGCAGTGCAAAATTTTGTGCCGATTGGACCCACCTTGACGAAGCATTTATATCCAACATCTAGGTTATACTAACTTAAGAACGTTGTGCAAAATTTGTGTCAAAATTTATGTGTAAAATCGGACGAAAATATACACTCGGAAGAAAAGATATATAGGAGCTATATCTAAATCTGAACCGATTTTCACGAAACTTAACACACATAATTCTAGACCTAATTCATTACGCTATACCAAATTTCGTGCAAATCGAAAGATATATAGGGACTTTGGTACACAATTTACCTTAAGGGAACCCCCTCCATTCTCGATTTTAATTTTTCAAGACTTTCAATTATTAAATCGGACGAAAATATGTATGGGAGCTGTATCTAAATCTGGACCGATTTTTTCCAATTTAAATAGGGTTCGTCCCTGGGCCAAATAAGTGGCCTATGCCAAATTTCATCCTAATCGGATCATAAATGCGACCTGTACTTTGTTCACAAAAGACGGACGGACGGACATGCATAAATCGACTTAAAAAGAGATTCTATGCATATTCTAAAAAGGAACCATGTGTCTATCTCGTTTCCTTTTGCCTGTTACAAACATATGCACAAACACATAATACCCTGTACCACAGTGTGGTGAAAGGTATAAAAACCACTAAGGTTTTTTTTAACATGGACAGATAGACAGACGGACGGACATGCAAAAATCGGCTTAGAAAGTGATTCTGTGCATATTCTCAAAGGAACCATGTGTCTACCTCGTTCCCGTTTGCCTGTTACAAACATATGTACAGAGACATAATACCCTGGACCACAGTGTGGTGAAGGTTATAAAAACCATGCACAAATCTATGAAAAGTCAATCGGGCAGACCTGAAGTTTTTGGTGTATCATTTGTATGAAATCGAGCAAAATCTTGTACGGGACCTATAAATAGAACTGAACGGGCCGACCATATGATACCCTACACAACTCCAACCGAGCTCTATGTTCCTGCGGAGTCTGGGTAATTCTTCGCGATATTTGCACCCTCTTGACTGAATATAGGTGAATAGCTCCACTTTCTTACCTTGGCATGATTTCCAAATTTTACTTTTTTACTTTCTAATTCGTATTTTTTACGTAAAAAATTAAAATTTTGGTCACTGCTAATCTCACAAAAAACTATTCTTAAAAACCACGCTTATAGGTCTGCTAATCTTACAAAAAATATTCTTTAAGAGATCCACGCTTATAGGTCTGATAAATTCTCTAAAAATATTCTTAAAACCAGTGAGCGGAGCAGTATAGTTGGAAGGGGCCGACCCTATGATACTCTACACAACTTGAACCGAGCTCTATGTTCCTACGGAGCCTGGGTAAATTTTCGCGATATTTGCACCTTCGTGACAGATTGACTGATTAAGTCTAGAATGCTGTGCGATAAGTTTCGTGAAAATCAGTTCAAATTCCGATTTTATGTTAATGTAACACAAAAGCCCCTAAATTTTTTTCGATTTACACAAATTTTGGCGTAGCGTACTGAATTAAGTCTAGAATGATGTGTGATAAGTTTCGTGAAAATTGGTTCAGATTTACATAGACGTCCTATATATATTTTCGTCCGATTTTAAGTAAATGGTGCACTAAAACCCCTTAGCTAGGCCGATGAACACATTGACATATTGAAGTTAATATGAACTAATATGTGGCAAGTTTCCTTGAAATCGGTTTAGATTAAGATATAGCATAGCTTCCATATATAATTTCGACATAAAAAGTTTGCTGATTGTACACCAAATAATCAATGGGTGTCTGATTGAGATAAAATTTTAAAAAGCTTTAAATCGATTTCCAAAATTTAGCATTGGTTGCAGAATGTTACAAACTAGTTTTGCTTTAAACTATAATTCTAAATTTACAAAATAATAGCTTTTTTAAATCTGAATTTATTAAAACAAAACCTTCTCCTGTAAAATTTCAAATTGAGGGTTACGTTTTTTTTTGGCGAATATGGCACGATATAGTCGGCCCTTACTGTTTTCTTTTGTGTAAATGGTTTAAAACAGTTATGGTCCATTTTTAGCTCCTGGGCGATGTGACGAACTTTTATCAACTTCTATCATTTCTCCGACATTTTCGACGAGAAATCTATCAGTACAGCCATCTGTCGAAAAAATAATGGATTTACTTTTCCCCAAACTAATATCTCTACTAGCCTGATGACATTAAAAAAAATCCATAAACTTCAACATCTGGCCGTAATGTGTTTTAAAAATCGAACTTTTAAAAAAATATATATTTGTTTCTTTTTATACCCTTCACAGGTATACAGGGTATTATGTCTTTGTGCGTATGTTTGTAACAGGCAAAAGGAAACGAGATAGACACATGGTTCCTTTTGAGAATATGCATAGAATCACTTTCTAAATCGATTTATGCATGTCCGTCCGTCCGTCCGTCTGTCTGTCGATGTTAAATTGTAAACAAAGTACAGGTCGCATTTATGATCCGAATTAGATGAAATTTGGCATAGGTCATTTATTCGGCCCAAGGACGAACCCTATTGAAATTGGGAAAAATCGGTTCAGATTTAGATATAGCTCCCATATATATATTTAACCGATTTAATGTAAACGGTCCCTATATATTATTCGATTTGCACGAAATTTGGTACAGTCTAATCATTTAGGTCTAGAATGATGTCTGCCAAGTTTCGTGAAAATCGGTCCAGATTTAGATATAGCTCCCATATATAGTTTCGTCCGATTTCATGTAAATGGTGCACCAAAGCCCCTATATATCCTTCGATTTGCACGAAATTTGTTATAACGTACTGAATTGAGCCTAGAGTGATGTCTGGCAAGTTTTTAGAAAATCGGTTCAGATTTAGATATACCTTCCATATATAGTTTCGTCCGATTTCATGTAAATGGTGCCACCAAAGTCCATATATATATTTCGATTTGCACGAAATTTGGCATAACGTACTGAATTAAGCCTAGAGTGATGTCTACCAATTTTCGAGAAAATCGGTCCAGATTTAGATATAGCTCCCATATATAGTTTCGTCCGATTTCATGTAAATGGTGCCCCAAAGTCCCTATATATCTTTCGATTTGCACGAAATTTGGCATAACGTACTAAATTGAGCCTAGAATGATGTTTGCCAAGTTTCGAGAAAATCGATCCAGATATAGATATAGCTCCCATATATATTTTCGTCCGATTTCATGTAAATGGTGCACCAAAGTCCACATATATATTGCGATTTGCACGAAATTTGGCATAAAAAACTGAATTGAGTCTAGAATAATGTCTGCCAAGTTTCGAGAAAATCGATCCAGATATAGATATAGCTCCCATATATAATTTCGTCCGATTTCATGTAAAGGGTGCACCAAAGTCGCTATATATCTTTCGATTTGTACGAAATTTGGCATAACGTACTGAATTGAGCCTGGAGTGATGTCTGCCTTGTTTAGTGAAAATCGGTCCAGATTTAGATATAGCTCCCATGTAT